CTGAGGCTCTAAAAGTGAATTAGTTTGCACAGAGTTACAAGGCTAGTGAGTGTTGGCCATGAGACTTAAACTCAGGTCTTCCTGACCCCAAGGACCACCCTCTAAGCCCAAAGCCAGGCTGTCCCACAATCGATTTTTGTCATTGTTGTCAACATCAACATTCTCATCCTCATTTGAGCCACAGATAGCAAGATTGATGGTAATCCCTTCCTGTAAAAATCATGCATATAGTAAAAGAAGCTGTGAACTTGGAATCAAATAACCTGGGTTCAAATCTCAGCAGATCTTCCTGCTAGTCTTCAGGACTGGACACTTCCCTTCTGACTCTATTCTGCATCCTTAAAATTGTGGTTATAATCACCCCCCTGTTTCCCTTGCATGGGCACTGAGCATCAAGTGAGAAAATGGTTCTTAGTCAAAACCCTTCTCAGTCAAGTTAAAATGTATTTATTAAGCACCTATTAATTTCTAGTCACTGTGTTAATTAATGGGGACACAAAGAAAGCCAAAAGACAGTTAGCCCAGACTTCAAGGAGCTTGTGGTCTTATGCAGCCAACTGCATAACAACAAGCTACAAGCGTGATAAATCAGAGATAATCAGCAGGGGGAAGGCACTAGAATTAAGGGGGATTGGGAAAAGCTTTCTGTAGAAGATGGGATTTGAAATAGGACAAAGAAAGCCAGGGAAGCCAAGAGGGAGAGATGAAGAGAGAGAGAATTCTGAGCGTGAGAATGGGCAAAAAAAAATACAAAAATGCCGGGGGCCTGAGAGGTGGAGTGTCTTGTTTATAGAATAGCCAGGAAGCCACTGTCACTGGACTGAAGAGTCCTCACCATTAAGGAAGGTGTAAGAAGATTGGAAAAGCAGGAGGGGACCAGGGCTTTGAAAACCTAACAGAGGATTTTGTATTAAATGTTAGAGGCGATAGGGAGCCATTGGAGTTTACTGAGTATGAGGTGACGTGATCAGAGCAGTGTTTTAGAAAAATTATTCTAGTGCTTGAATAGATAGGGGATTGGAATGGAGAGAAACTTGAGGCAGGCAGGCCCACCAGCAGGTTATCACAATAGTCCAGGAGAGAGGTGATGAGGGTCTGCAACAAGGCGGAAGCAATGTCAGAAGCGAGAAGAGGGCATATTCAAGAGACGTTCCAGAGGTGAAATGGAAAGGCCTTGGCAACAGATTGGATATGGAGTGAGGTGAGAGGTAGTGAGGAGCCCAGGCTGACTCCTGTGTTTGAAACCTGGATGACTTGGAGGATTCTGGTTGGTTAATTCATTGGTTGTTGTCCTTCATGCTTGAAGAGGACCAAAGTAACTTCACTATGTTGGAGTCAAGGTACAGTGCATCTGAATATGACTGATCAGACCAATGTGAGCTCAGAGTGTTCTACTACAGGTGGGCACAAAGAGTCCATGTAAACATCTGGAGTGGAGATGACTAAATTTGCACATCTCCTGTTTCTTTTGAGCTACTTCAATTCTGCTTCTCTCATAGTGCACAGAGCCTTCTTTAATCAGAGCATTACCATGCTGGGTGGTCTTGTGCCAGTGTCTCCCATGTCTCACAATCAATTCCAAAGTTCTTCAGAGACACCTTGAGAGCATCCTTGTATCACTTCTTCTGACCACCATGTGGGTGCTTGCCTTGCATGAGTTCTCAATAAAATATGCATTTGACAATCAAACAACATGGCCAGCCCATTGGAGTTGTGATCTCTGAAGGAGAGTTTGAATGCTTGGCAGTTTTGCCAAAAAGACCTCAGTGACTGGTACTTTATCTTGCCAGGTGATCTTCAGAATCTTCCTAAGACAATACAAATGGAAATGATTCAGTTTCCTGGCATGGTGCTGGTAGAATGTCCAGGTTTCACAGGCATACAACAATGGGGTCAGCACAATGGCTCTGTAGACTTTCAGCATGGTAGTCAACCTAACACCTTTTCTCTCCCACACTTTCCTTCAGAGCTTGCCAAACATTGAACTAGCTCTAGCAATGCGTGTGTCAACCTCATTATCAATGTGTACCTCCGTGGAAAGTACAATACCAAGGTAAGTGAACTTACGCACAGCATTCAGAATCTCTCCATTTGCTATGACCAATGGTTCCACCTATGGGTGGTATGGTGCTGGTTGGTTTTCTTGGTGTTAATTATCGGGCCAAAATTCACACAAACATCAGAGAATCGATCCATACTTTGTTGCATCTCAGTTTCAGAAGCTGCATTGAGTGCACAATCATCTGTAAACAGAAAATCATGCAACAACACTCCCTCCACCTTGGTCTTGGCTTGTAGCCTTTTCAAGTTAAATAATTTACTGTCAGTGCAGCTGCTGACCTTGATGCCATGTTTACACTCATTAAAGGTTTCTGACACCATCCCTGAAAACATCATGATAAAGAGCATGAGAGCAAGCATACAGCCCTGCTTTACTCCATTAGTGACTGGGGAAGCACAAGAGAATCATCCATTATCCAGAACCCGGGCAAACATGTTGTTATGAAACTGGTGTACAATACTGATGAACTTCTTCGGGCAACCAAATTTTTCAATGACCTTCCACAGGTCCTCACAACTGACAGTATCAAAGGCCTTGGTCAGATTGACAAACATTGTGTACAGACCTCTGTTCTGCTCCTGGCATTTCTCCTGGAGTTGTTAGGCAGCAAACACCATACTGATCATTCCCCTGCCCTTTCTGAAGCTGCACTTGCTCTTGGGTAGATGACCATCCTCCAGGGGAAGGATTAGCCTATTAAGGAGAACTCTGGCAAGAATCTTGCCATCAGTGATAGAGAAAGTGAGAGAGAGAGAGAGAGAGAGAGAGAGAGAGAGAGAGAGAGAGAGAGAGAGAGAAACAGACAGACCCCCTGTGATTGTCATGGGATGACCTATTTCTCCTAGGATGGTGGCACCCTTAACACTAATAGGGAGGAAGGACTTGGAACAAAAGATGAATTCATTTTGGGACATGTTAGGTTCAAGATGTCAAATAAGCAGTTAAAGATGCAAGACCAGAAGTTGGCAGAATTTAGGACTCGACAGGCAGATTTTTGATTCATCACCATAGAGATGATAATTGAATCCAAGGGAGCTGATGAGATCACCAAATGAAATAATACAGAGAGAAAAGAGAAGAACACCCAGGACAGAGCCATGAGGGATCCCCATGATGTCTGGATGTGACCTGGAGGAAGGTCCAGCAAAGGAGACTGAGAAAGAGTGGGCAGACTGGTGGGAGAAGAACCAGGGGAAAGTAGAAGCCCCTAAACCCAAGGAGAAGAGAGTACCAAGGTGAAGAGGGTGATCAACAGTGCCAGTGGCTGCAGAGAGGTCAAGGAGAATGAGAAATGAGAAAAGGCCACTGGGCTTGGCAACCAGGAGATCATTAGTCACTTTAGAGAGATGATGTTGGTGGAACGATAAGGTCAGAAGCCATATCAAAGACTGCTAAGAAGAGAATAAGAGAAAAGGAAGCAGAGGCCTATATTGTATGACCTTGTCAAAGAGCTTAGTCACCAAAGGGCAGAGAGATATGGAAAGATAACTACAGGATGGATCAAATGACAGTTTGTTGAGGATGGAGGAGACATTGGTATGTTTGTGGCAGTGGGAAAGCAGACAGTAGACAGAGAGAAATAGAATATATGTGAGAGACCAGGATAATAAAGGGGACAATTTACTGGAGAAGACAGGATGAAATGGATTCATTTGTGCATAAAGAACTATCAGACTTGGAAAGGAAAAGAAACAGATTTTCATTTGGGACAGGTGTAAAAGAGGAGACAGTGAAAGAAGGCATGAAGAGATATGACATGAAGAGGAGAGAAGAGGGAGCAACAAATAGGTTCAATTTTTGTTTTTCTGTAAAATATGAGGCAAAATTTTCAGCTGAAAGGGGAGGGGGAGGGGAGCCATGGGAGACAAAAAAAAAGTTTGGAAGATCCCTCAAGGTGAGGAGGACAGCAAGTTAATTAGGGAGGCTAATTTATGGATTGATTAATTTATTCTCTTTTTTTCCTTAGAAGAGAAATTTGAACCAGTCAACAACAATATATTAAGCATTTATTGGATTCTAGGCACTTTACTAAGTGCTAGAGATATTAAAAAAGGCAAAATTGTGGTTCTTGCCCTCAGGGAACTTACAGTCTATTGGGTAAGAAAGAGATACATGAAAGCTATTTACAAAGAAGATCTAAGTTGTGAAACAAGAACCATTGTCCTGAAGGAGCTTAGACTCCACTGGATGATAGCATCCTCTTCCATGTGACCCTTATTTTCCCTATGGGTTTGCTTGGCCACTGAGGTGGACAGGAAAGGAATGTGTGCTAAGCTCTTCCTCTGTTTGCATTGGTTACCTCCTTAATAAATTTCAAGAGTTGGATCAGATGGTCCCTTTGAGCTCTTACATGCCATGGCTCCATACTGCCTGATTCTTGCGCATTTTGTCTCCTGCATACAGTAGGCACTCAATATATGCTTGTCTGGGTGGTTATGGTGAGAGGGTGGGAGGCAGAAATCAGAAATGGCTTTTCTTCTTGTTCCCCAGTCTCCTTCCTGGGTGCTTCTCACTTCATCAGTGATAATCTGTTCACTGCAGAGGCAAGCTTCAAGGTGCAGAGTGGGGAGGAATCTTGGAGACCACCCAGTCCAGTACCCTCATTTTACAGATGGAGAAATTGAGGAACAGGGAAGGGACTTGATCAGGGTCACACAGAATGTAAGCTTTTTGAGAGAAGAGTCTATTTCACTTTTTTCTCTGTCTGCAGTATACAACACAGTACATGGCACAGACCAGGCATTAAATAAATACTTGTTCAGTGATTGATTGGCTGATGTCTCTGGCCCCCAAACCTGAGGCCGACTGCCCAGGTCAAATGTTGATTAAGAAGCAGGAAAATAAGCTGTTCTTCTCTCCCTGATACTGATGCTCTGGGCTAATCTGTTTTTTTTTATAAGTTTTATTAATGGGTTTTATTTTTATATTACAAACACAGATTACTCCCACTTCCTGAAAAACCTCTTGTAACAAAGTACTGATCTCCACTCTCAGATGCAACCCTGAAGGAAAATCCAGCAACAAGGGACATGTGGCTGCCTTCTGGAAGAAAAGATCCTAGGTAGGTGGTATGTAACATCTTGTGGACTCCTTGCAATTGTCAATGAACATTTATTAAGCACCTACTGTGTGCCAGATGCTGCGCTAAGGCCCGTGGTCCCTCCCCCAAGGAGCTCCCAGTCTAAGGGGGAGACTCCACATAAAAGAACACTGAGAAATAGGGGGAAGGGGAGGGGCCATGGCAGCTTCCTGGCCCAGGGGCCATGGTGGAAGTGGAGACTTCACCAGGAAGAGGAGGGAGTGGAGAAGGAGCTGAGTGTTAAAGCAGACTCAGTCTCCCTGAGGAGGAGATTTCAGATAACGAGTTTATCTGGGGGGGAGGCAGATATTTGGGGGTCAAATCTAAGCAGAGCAGGGCATGGACAGGGACAGAGGCAGAGGTGGGGTGAAGACAGGGACATGAGCCTGATCTTTATCTCTCCAGGTCCAACACTCCATATGGCAATGGGTAACTCAACAACAAGAGAATCTGGGTTCAAATCCTGCCTGACTATCCTGGTGTGACTTTAGTCAAGTCACTGAGCTTCCCCATGCCTCAGTTTCCTCACTGTAAAGGGAGGGGCATGACCTCAGTTGGCCTGCCGGGTACTTTTTAGGTCTAGATCTGTAGCCCTCTGTGCCTCAGGAATTGTGAGAATCATCCATCAGAGAGGTGTGGGTAGACCACTGTGATGGAACTACTGAGGAAGAGAATAGAGTCAAGGAAAGGGCTCTGCCCAGGGCCTGTGTTCAAATGCTACTTTTGCCACTAATTGTCTGTATGACCTTGGACAAGTCCCCTCACATCTGGGCTTCCATGTTCTCTGTAAAACCTGGTGCCTTCTCTCAGCCCCACTTCATGCCAGTGTCTTCCCTCGGCTGATTATTTCTGATTTTTTCAGTGTATACCTTGTTCCTACAGGGAGGTTTGCATGTCATCTCCCCCATGAGACTATGAGTTCCTTGAGAGCAGGGACTACTGCCTTTCTTTATTTTCTCAGGGCTTGGAATCTGTGAGTGCCTAACAAGTGCTTATCAATAGCTAGCATTTCTAAAGCACTTTAAAGTTTGCCAAGAACTTGCCGAATATTACCTCATTTTATCCTCACAGCAATCACCCTGGGAGGTAGATGCTATAACTGTCCTCATTTTACAGATAAGGAAATCGAGGCAGACAGAGGTGAAGTGGACTTGCCCAAGGTCACATGGCTAGTAGATATGGGAAGCCTGATTTGAACCCAGGTCTTCCTTACTGTACACCTATGGATCTAACCAATTGCCTGCTACTAACTGATAAAATGCCATATCTCACTTGAACTGAGGATCAAGGGAAGAAGTGACTCACCCATGGTCACAAGGTAAAGAAAGGTTTGTGAAACTGGACTGGGGAAAATCTAAATGAATTAAATTCTTGGACTGACACAATGAGCATTTAACTCCTCCCTCTGCCTCGCACTTGTGCAGCCCTGGGCGAGTCCTCTCCTTTCATTGGGCCTCAGTTGTCCCATCTGTAGAATAGGTGAGTTAGACTGGATGACCTCACAAGTCCCTCCCAGCCCTGACAGTCTCTGCTCTATGATCTAGAAATCCACCCCAGCTCTGTCTTCCTGAACCACCCTCCTGCTCCAATCTTGTGGGCTCTTCTCCAAATCCACAGCCTTTCCATCCCTCTTGCTGAGGGCTTATCCCCAGAAGGTTACGACCTCAGGTGATTTGTTCTTTTGACTGGTGCACTCCATAAAATAGCTAAAAATTCTTCCTGCCTTCAGGTGGAGAGTAGTTCAATGGGAGTGGGAGGACAGAGGACACCCCCCCCCCATGGTATGAAGCTCAAAGGGTCAAGGAGCTGTGAGTCACCCTGTTTCACGGACTGTCTGCCCACATACATTATTTTGGCTGTTGTATCTTTGGATATATCTGATGGGTCACGTCTGCTGTTTGCTGGCCCATATCCCAGTGGCCAACAGCTGACGTATCACAGTTGACATATCACAGTTTCTTATCTCTGGGAAGACTTTGAGAGATCAATTATTGATCGATGGGTATATGGACATCCCATGTGCCACGAACAAAGTTATTGGAGGTGTAAAGATGTGTGTATGTGTGTGTGTATGTGTGTGTGTGTGTGTGTGTGAGAGAGAGAGAGAGAGAGAGAGAAAGAGAGCGAGAGAGTGAGAGAGAGAGAGAAAGAGAGCGAGAGAGTGAGAGAGAGAGAGAGAGAGAGAGAGAGAGAGAGAGAGAGAGAGAGAGAGAGAGAGAGAGAGAGAGAGAGAGAGATGGCAACTTTCTGCTTCCCAACTTCTCCAGGGCCCTTGAGGGCAGAGATTGTGGCTGAAGAGACTCTGTCTCCCACAGTGCCTTGCTCAGGATGCTGTGCTCAGTGGGGATGCCATAATACCTCAGAAGATCACTTGGTTATCAGCTGGGTCATGACACAAGAGGTCTCCTATCTCTGTGGATTGGATGGTGGCCAGTGGCCAGATTAACCTTCCCTCAGATACCCTTGGCAAAAACAGGTTTTTAAGGCCATAAACTGTGAATTCATGAAGAACTGATGTGGATCCCAATCAATCTGTGCCTGAGCTGAAGGGTGTTATTTTGGGGAATGGACTCAGTTCCTAGAGGATTTGCAGAGATAAATGCCTTCCCTCATATCCTCTCACTTGTCCACCCTCACTCAGAAGAGATTGGGTGTGCTGATCAGACAGGGATGTGCTAGCTGACTTCTCTTTTCTTTTCCCTCCTCCCTACTCCTAGGGTCTGACTTCTCACTTCCCAGAAACTACTAGTTTCAAATGTCTCATTTTCAATATCGATGTGGTCAAAATCAGTCTTTTTCTCTTTACCGGGAATGAGATGACTTGAGTTCCCCAGAGTTCTGAAACCTTCTAGGAAGAGAAGGCTGGAGGTAGAGTTAGGGAGCAGAAGTTGGAGTCATGTCATACTTAGACTGTTCATCTATGAACATGCCTGTCTTTAAAATACTCAGCCCCAGAGCTGAAAACACAGGGAATGATCTTCATCTCAGGCATCCTCCAAGCAGGCGTATACCTCGATCACAGAAAGGTATCATCGATACTAACCATTCCTAGAATCACTCTGATTCTGCAAAAAAAGTGGGTGCCCTTGGCTTGGGGGATGGCTGAACAAACTGTATATAAATGTACTAGAATGTCATTGTGCCATAAAATTACAAATACGAGGGAAGATTTGTATGAACTTATGCTGAGCCAAAGAAGCAGGATATGTGCAATGACCACAATAAGGCAAACGAAAACAATGCTAAAAAAGTAGAAAGACTAACACAGTGCCTCACCAGATGACATGATATTGGCAAATTGGTAAAGCACACACTGGGTGCTTAATAAGTCCTTGCTCCCTGCCCCACTTCCCAATATCATTCCTGGCAGATAGATGATAAAACACAATTGCCTCCTCTTAGTACAGAGGTGGGGGACTACGGGTGCAGAACATTGCGTGTTTTCTGATATAGTTATGGTGCCAGTTGGTTTTAATGACTAAATTTCCCTTGCTACCAGGGTGGAGTTTATTAGGGTCACATATAAAGAACTAACTGTGATGTGAAAACAAACAGGATGAAAAGAACACTTAAAAAAAAGTAAATAAAGGCATGGGGGCTGACAGGTCTGAAGCTCCTGGGCTTTATTGAGCAGACTAGAAACAATGTACATGAGATGCTTTCATTTACAGGATCACAGGCTGGGATCCAGAAGGATCCTTACAGGCCATTAAGTCCAGGTACATCATTTTACAGGTGAGGAAACTGAGTCCATGATAAGTTAAGTGACTTACCCAAGGTCACTCAGGTAACATACTTTCTCTCTTGAAATATCCCCAACTGCCCTGGGAGGTAGGGAGAGCAAACTAACATCTCCGACTTCTAGAACATGTCAAGGTTTACTAGACACTTTCCTTACCACATCCTTGGCTGGAGGCTGTCATTTAATGATTATTATTCCCATTTTATAAATGACGAAACTGAGACTCATTGTAGCATAGAAACACTATCACTCTGACCACACTTAGGAGACTATAGTTCTAAATTTCAGTTCTGGAACTACTTTGTTTTGTAACCTCAGACAAGTCACTTTCTTAGAACCTCTGTGTCCTCATGAGTCAAATGAGGTGGTTGGATCTCTGAGATGCTTCTCAGCCCTGATATCACTTTTTCTCTGTTCTAAGAGAACAGGGTCCCTCTCAACTCTAACACAGCATGTTCTAAGGTGCCTCCCAGCTCTGATATCCTACCCTCTGTAATCTAAGGTCCACTCAAACTCTAAGATTCTGTGATTCTGTTGTATTTCCAGGTTCACAAAATAAATGATGGAATTGAGATTAAATTAAAATTCTAAGAACTTCTAGTTACATTCAAGAAAACATTATGTATCACATCCTGTAGTGAGTTCTGCTGAGCAATAGTAGATATACAAAGTTTAAAGACGATAAGCATCTGCCCTCGGGCAGCTTCCAGTCTAGTAGTGGCCTAAGATTAGATCACTCTAATGTCCTTTATGGAAACACTGAAAAGTCTGTGGAGCAAGGTTGAGATTGAACACTCTGGGTCCAGGAGCTGTGAGCTGCACTGCCCCAACACTGCCCCCAAACATGTCCTCCATCACTAGATCAGTGATAAAGATGACTGAGCTGTCCTAAGATTCCATGCCAGAGGTTCCTAATTTCCTCATCTATAAGAATCCATTATTTTCATCATTTTTTTTTCTTGGCCCCCAAATGAAAGTCATTGTACTATTCATCTTGGCAAATTGAAATAATTCATGAATACAAACAGCTCCTGGGAATTCAGAGATGCTTGAAAATGAATGTGCATCATTTATCAATCTCTACAGCAGCTACAAATGTTTGGAACACAGTCCAACATTGACATGGAGGCCTGGTTATTTATTCTGTGCTCTGAAGGACTGCTTTCTAATTTCTTCTATGGAGTCAGGCCAAATGTTTCATAGGCAGTAAATAACCATGAAAACTGACCAAGCCTGGTGC